CATTCCTGTTCCCTCTGGATGGGTCCATGGAGTCCAGGGGAGATATTTCATGCTGTTCCGCCCAGTGAGTAAGACAGGGGCCGTTGGGTCACAGCCCTTCTTGGGCGACGTGATCTTCTACCCTGAATAGCAGCCTCTGCGCTGTCTCGAGATAAAACATGAGCATGTGTGGCGCTGAAAGTTCATCATTTTGTTGTGTTCTGCATTATTTATTTGGAATTAAGAAGGTTAAGGATTTTGTAACAATTGCCATTTGCAAGACAGGAGAAAAATTACTTGAAGAGCAGTGCCTGAAATGAGATCGTTAAGCAAAGTGATGAATCACAATAACAAATTTTTAGCACTCCCGTCTGTCTGTTCCAGATGGGAATACAAGAGCCTGTGTGCTCTCAGTGTGTTGTTCCTGAGGATGATCTGTCTACCTGCGAAAAATAAAAACAAATGAAGTAAAGCTTCCCACCGCTGCGGTGCTGCCGGTGTAGCCCTGCCAACGGAGAGCTCGGAAGTCGGGAAGGTGCTGCGTGCTCTGAGCCTTCTTGTTATTAAGAAAGCAGAAGGCTTTTCCTGTTCTGTGCAATTTTCACACCAGCGGCTGGCAGGGCTCTTTTTCCCAACAAATCTGAGCTGCTGGTAGCATGGTGATGGGAAATGAGAACGCAGCAGGGGTTGGGCACGTGCCTGGTCTCCAAGTCCATGTGCTTTTCTTGGGAGCTGGTCACTGAGGTTATTGTGAGATTTTTCTTCAAGAGCTATAAACTCTGCCACCCACTTTTGGGTGTTTAAATGTTGTTCAATTGCTCCTCTTCTCTCTTGCAGCGGAAGCATGGAGCCTGCCTTTCACAGAGGAGATCTCCTGTTCCTCACGAACCAAATTGAAGATCCAATCAGAGTGGGAGAAATCGTGGTCTTTAGGATAGAAGGAAGGGAAATTCCTATAGTCCACCGTGTCCTGAAAATTCATGAGAAGTATGTCAAGAATCTGGGGGATTGTTCTGCAGGTGTTTAGCAAAATGCTATTTTTCCTCGCCTCCTTGGGTAGATGAATGGGTGGGACATCAGTAACCAACATCCAGGTGCTGTAGGAAGAAGTAACGTGGAAGTTTCAGGCAGATGAAATCTTTGGTTTACTTGTAAAGACCGTCCCAGCAGAATTCACGAGCTGGGGAGTCTGTGCTAGTGTCCTGGATTCCCCCTGCCACTTAACGTCTCCTATGCCATCATTTCCACCCCAAGCTGCTGTGTAAAGTTGCTGTCTTGCCTCCTGTAGGTGTGGCTGCATTTGTGTGTGCGAAGTGACTCTTGTTTGTAGAGGTCAAACTTAGGGAAGAAGGGTATCTTGTACGTAGCCTGCATTATTTTAAAGCTGGTCTTTACACTCCTGGTTCCCGCTCTCGGCAGCGGCAGGGTGTTTCTTTTCTCCTCTGTAGGAAGTGTTGCGTTATTATACTCGCAGTCTGTATGTGCTGCACTCTCCATCCACTGTTCGTTTTGCGCACGTTCAGCGGGTCGCGTGTCTGAAGGAATGAAGCATGGTCACCCTGGTGTGATTGCTGAACAGGGTTTAGTTTTCCCAGCAAGGCTTCCTCTGCAGCTGTGAGCCTTCTTGTGCTGCTCGGGGAAGATGCAGATGCAACTGCTACCGGCTGCTCTGTGGGGATACGAGCCAGCCCCCTGAGGCATTTGAGTGAAAACTAAATCTTGAATGGAATCCCTGGTCCCTTGAGCCACCTCTGAGAGGGCAGCAGTTGGACAGGGTCCCAGCCTCTGTGTCTGCTGAGTGAGTGCCTGCTGCAATAGGAATGCACTGGAGCTGCACCAGGGCTCAGAGATCTGTTCCTAGATTAAGTGAATTGCTTGAATCGTATGCAAAGGTGGCATTTGAGGATTGCTCTGGTCAAGTGAGGTCGATGGGATAGAGTCGGTCCCTTTCCCCCAGGCGTTTGTAGCCGCCACAGCTGTTGGGATGTCTACTCCATTTGTCTGGCCCCACAGCAAGGTCGACCAGCTTTGTGCACACAAAAAGCCTGGCTGAAACCCTGGCTATGAGGGCGCAGCACCTCTCCCGTAGGCAGAGCAGGCTCTTTGCTGTTCAGACTTATTCTGTATCAAAAACATTTAACAACGTCCATTTTCAAAGTACTGTTCTTTGGTGCCACTCACTTCAAAATAAGGCCGATATACTTGGTATGTTTGGTATCCAGCGTTGCACGTGCGCTTCCTGTGATGTCTGGGGAACTATTTCAAGCGAAACGCTACTTTCCCTCTCCCATCTTGCATGCTAAAGGCTCAGCTGGGCGCCAGTGCTGCTGCTGCTTGGGCTGACTATTGAAGAGGCAAGAAAGGTCAGGGTCTTCGCTCCCTGCTCTCAGTCAGCATATGGGAAGGAGAAGCAGAAATGTCCACTCTGCAGCACTTCAGCTCCAGATATTCCCCACCCTTCTTGTTTTTTTCTTTTTTTTTTTTTGCCTGGCTCTATCTCAGCACTAGGTCTTAAGGTATCCAGCGCTTTCTTTTTTAAATGTACCAGAACTATAGCGCCGATCCTAGATTCCGTGAATTCAAGTCATTCTCCGGTGTTTTAGATTTCATTTAAATAAAATGACTAAACACGACCCTCATCTTCATATTAGGAAAGACAAAACTGAAAAATACGTGCTGTGGCCTGGAGCTGAGTGCTGAAGGCAGGGCTCTTGAGGAATCAGTTGCTTCTTTTACTAGGTAATGAATATTTTTCCAGTGCCAGTTCGGAATTTCAGGAGTGTCCTCTGAATGGCCGGAGTTTCCCATTTCTTCTTGTAGTTATGGACTGAATGAAAACTGTGAAAAGTCTCTGTGAAAGCTGACAGGAGTGTCAGAAGGAAGGACAACAGAAACCCCATTCTCTGTGATTCTGTGGCAACTCAGACTCCAGTTCACATTGGTATCATTTCAGTGAGAAAATGGGGTTTTCTGCCTGCTAGCCTTTTCTTTTTTATCAGGGCGAAATTGAGTTCATTCTTTGTCACCAAATGCAGAGTCTGCAGTCAACATTTACTTAGTGGTTTCGGTGCAGGACAGCCAGACCAGACCTCATTCACCCTTCAGACAGCAGAGCAACTGCGCTGGGGGCTTCTCGCCCTGGTTCATGATAGAGCATTGAATGGGCTTAATAAGATGGTGCGCTCCTGCGCCGTCAGTCTGCAGAGCAGGAATTCTGTTACCTTTGGGCATCTTTGTCTCTTTCCAGACTCTCTGTAAGCTCCTGAAGTGTTTGCTGTTCCCCTACTGTCAGCCAAGTGTGCTTTGAAGAAAGGTCTGTTCTTTCTTTCCCCTTTTTTGTCCTCCAAGCTTCTCCTGTCAGGTAGCATGCGTTAGTACTCTGGCACGGTGAAAAGAGCATGCGCTCTGAAGATCTTCTGCGTGCTTTCCTGAGCTGTATTTGATCTGTCGTTTCTGAGAGTGAGCCAATGGAATCAAGCAACGAGAGTGCTCCCGCTCAGCATTTGCCTCCAGCTGCCACGGGGACAGTGGCCAGCCAACCCCCAAGTAGTGGCACAAGCTGCTGCTTAGAAGCAGGCATTGCTGGGCGCCCAGCAAGCTGAGTGGGAATGCTCGGGGAAGGGTGCAGAGCACGGTGTGTAAAGCTAGAGCACAGCAGCAGCAGTTTCCAGGTCAAAGGAGAGGTTCTTCTGCCCCAGGATGGTGTTTCTGACCAGCTAACTGATTTGCCTCAGGACAAATTAAAGCCTAGAGAGAGCGCATGGTGGTAATTTCCCTGCTTTCTGCAAATGATGATTTTGGGCACAAAGTGATAGTTCTGTGTTAATAGTCCCACTTTCTTTTCCACATGGAGTACCTGGTCACTTTTTGAAATGATACAATATTTTGGCATCCAAAAACATCCTTCCAGAGAGACACAATTTGGTTTGCGCTGTGTTACTTAAGCCTAGCACCTTCTCTGGCTTGTTTTCACCTCTTGCCTCTGAGTTGCATTTGATGCCCTCTAGGTCTTGTCTTGGAAGAGGCAGTGAAAAACTCGTTGCTGTCTGTCTCGTTGGTATTGGACTCCCCTCATACCTCCCGTCAGTTCTGTCTTCTCCGGGCTGAAGAGTCCTGGCCTGTTGTTTCTGGCATGGAAGTGGTTCCAGACCTTGTCATCCAGTTCTGAACCTTTGCTGGTACTTCTCTCTGTTTCAAAAAAGGAGGTAGGGGGTTCAGAACCGCACAGAGGTTTCAAGACGTAGGCACATCGTCAGTTCAAGCAGTCTCGTAATGGTAGTGTTTGTTTTGTTCTGTCCCCCCCTTTCCTAGTAATTTTGAAGTTTCAGCTTGCTTCTGACCACCAGTGCACCAGTTCAAGAAAGATGAAAGAGTCCAGAGGAGGGCAACAAAGATGATGGGGGGACTGGAGCATCTCCCCTATGAGGAAAGGCTGAGGGAGCTGGGCTTGTTCAGCCTGGAGAAGAGGAGGCTGAGAGGGGATTTCATCAACACATACAAATATCTTAAGGGTGGGTGTCACGAGGATGGAGCCAGACTCTTGTCAGTGGTGCCCAGCGCCAGGACAAGGGGCAATGGGCACCAACTGAAGCAGAAGAGGTTCCAGTTGAACATGAGGAAGAACTTCCTGACTTTGAGGGTGACCGAGCCCTGGACCAGGCTGCCCAGGGGGGCTGTGGAGTCTCCTTCTCTGGAGATATTCAAAGCCCTCCTGGATGATGTCATGTGCACCCTGCTCTGGGTGAGCCTGCTTGAGCAGGGGGGTTGGGCTGGGTGATCTCCCGATGTCCCTTCCAGCCCCTGCGATTCTGGGATTCTCTGACTACTGAGTAGAACTGTATGCTTTAACCCCAAAGTCTCATTTTGGGTGGTAGTGCAGAGCCCAGAACCCAACATTTGTGTATGAAGCAAGGCAAGTGTCAACACGAGAGAGGTTAGAAGCAAAAAGGCAATAGCTGCACCTTCACTAGAAACAGCTCGTCCTGCCGTTTCTGTTCTTAAACTCTGCTGGAAAGCTTAGGTGGGGCCAGGATTCATCCTTTTGTTGGCAGTTTTCTCCCTAATGCTCTGCTTTCCGCTACATCTGTCAGAGTTTCCCTTTTTCATCCTGCTCTAACATGTAGGACACGATCGCTTCTGATATCTTTGTGTTAGTCTCCATGCGCTTGGTCCAGAACAGCTTTCAGTAAGTTCTTTGTCTCTGATTTACCTGCCTGTCTTCTCTTTGCTAGGCAAAATGGTGACATCAAATTTTTGACAAAGGGAGACAACAATGCCGTTGATGACAGAGGGCTGTACAAACGAGGGCAGCACTGGTTGGAGAAAAAGGACGTAGTAGGACGAGCAAGAGGGTAAGTGAAGTTGAAAAAGATGCGGCTTTTGATGCTGCCCTCCCCCGTGCCTTCTGTTAATCCCCCCCCTCCCGTCTTGAACTCCCCCTGCTGGGTTTTGTGATCTGCCTGAAAGCGTTTCACAAGGTACCGCAGACAGTGAAAAACCAGAGGTAGTGCAGTCCTTAGCTTAAGCGAAGTTATCAGGCTGTGAGCTGCGTCCTGAGGTTTTGAGGCAGGGTGGACATCATTGCAAAGGCAGTGCGCGCTCAGGCGTGATCAGAATTTTCATGGAATTATTCTGGCAAACGAGAGTCGAACAAGGCAGAGGATGAAACACACTCTGGGGCGGGTTGTCACTTGGCCCCCGCTGCTGTGGCTTCCTGGCTTGGGAGGAAGAAGTCCCGAGCCTGTTGACCGTAGCCCTCAAGCGTGGCTGGCTGGCTCTACCGTTGTACAAGTACCAGGGCGGCGCTTCTCCCATACGCCCTCTTGAATGCTGTTTGTTTCAATAAAACCTTTGTTGTCGTAGATTTGTGCCCTATATTGGAATAGTGACTATCTTAATGAACGATTACCCAAAATTTAAGGTAAGAGCTCTTTCATTTTCTGCCTGCTTCTCCCACCCTGGCTAAAATCACTTCGTGAGCACTTCATAGGCCCAGGCAGAGCCGTTTGCCCCCTGTGTTTGCTGCTGGTGCTGCTGCTTTAGGTGTGGATGTGCACTCTGGTGTCTTCTCTTCTTTCTCTTACAGTATGCGGTCCTCTTTTTACTGGGTTTATTTGTGCTGGTCCATCGAGAGTAGCCTCTTGCGCTGCAGCACGAGGTGAAGATGCCATGGATTTTTTTTAGATGAACGTTTTAAGTAGGCGAAGGTCCAGTGTGCCGGGAGGAAGAAGAAAACCTGCATTTCAAAGCTTCTTGCCAGTTTGGGTTTGTTTCGGTTTTTACTGCGTAAGGGCGAATGTTTGTCACAGTATTTCCAATGGTTTGTCACATTTTAGCATTTTTAGTGAGTTTTTATATTAAAAATTTAAGCCAAACTGTTCAGTGTTTGTACTTTGAAGCTGAGCTTCCTCTTGAAGTGCCTGCAGGACTGTGTCCTCGAAGTCTGTGCCTCCACTGGGCAAGCGTGCCCTCTCCCTGTGCTGACTGAACTGTCAAACGGCGAACTGGGGAGGTGATGTGGTTTTCCAATTCAGAACTGGAATAAAGATTTTGCATCTTGCCCGGTACGAGCCCTGCCATGTTCTTCAATATTGCCCTGAGTGCAGCCTCATTGCCCGGTTTCCCTGGGGGGGTACCTGGGCTTTGCCGTTGCAGACTGACTGTAGGCCCTGGTGAACCAACCTGTCCTCTCTTTGCAGAGCAACAGCCGCTGCTCCTCTCATGTCCTTTTGGAGAGTAAGTAGTCCCGAGCTGTGGATCCATTCAATATTTGTTTCTGTAAATCCCACTGAAATAATCTGCTTGAAGACTGCACGGTGGTTTGGGCAGAAGGTGGTAAAGGATTCTTTGTGCATAAGCTGTCACTGCAGCATGAGGCAACTGAAGAACTGAGGTGGGAAATACTGTAGCTGTTTGGTAGGGGTGACTCAGTGGGATGCAACAGTGAAATTTTCTTAGTTTTGGAAAGGGGTTTTAGGTCTGTAATGATCCCAGCAGTTGGCCGTACCTTACGGCTCACCTGAAAGCTACAGAAAGGCTGAGACCCCACTGTGCTGAGGTCTGAAAGAGGATACTACTTGTCACTACGTGCAATGGCTTTTTTTCCGGGCTTCTCATTCAGGACAGCAAACCTCCTTGTGCAGGTGCAGTGTCAGGAGAGCCCAGGGAAGAGGCACAGAGCAGAGACTCTGTAGTGATCAGCTTCAATACAAACTTGTGCCACTGCACTGAGCGATGGACCATTGTAACTTGCCTCTGTAGCATCTATACTGACTCACAAACCCACTTTACTTCTCCTTCGCTAGGGCAGATCTTCACAAGAGCCGGCAGTGGGAGCACCATGCCGTTGCTACCTCTGTCCAGGGCTGCCTGAACCCTCTTTGGCAGTTTGCTTACTAGCTGTCTTGCTGGGACAGCTTCTCCCTGGCAGCGGGAGCAGCTTCTGTCCTTGCTGGCTTGTGCTTTCCCTGGGTTAACAGCTCTCCTCTCCATCCTGCAAAAGCTGCAGGCAAGTGCAAAGCTGCTGTGTGTTCCTGCAGGTGCGTCCCACTGCATAGAATCACAGAATCGTTTGGGTTGTAAAAGCCCTTTAAGCTCACCAAGCCCAACTGTTCCCCTAACCCTGCCATCCCACCACTAAACCCTGGCCCTAAGCACCTCCTCTGCCCA